AGAAAATGTTTTCTTCTAGAATTATAAAGAGTTTAATTGAAAATGCATTGCATGTGTTTATATAGAGAGAGCACATTTGTGTTATTTACTTATTTATTTACCTATCTATCTATCTATCTATCTATTTATTTATTATTTGTTTTTGAGACAGAAAATGTTTTCTTCTAGAATTATAAAGAGTTTAATTGAAAATGCATTGCATGTGTTTATGTAGAGAGAGCACATTTGTGTTATTTATTTATTTATTTACCTATCTATCTATCTATCTATCTATCTATTTATTTATTATTTGTTTTTGAGGCTTACTGGTAAGGGGATCCAAACCCTTGACCTTGGTGTCAGTAGCAGCACACTCTCCCAAGTGAGCTAACTGGCTAGCCTGTGTGTATGTGTTTTAAGAGAGAGAGTAAGTACATACACAGAGCATATGTACATATATACAAATAGAGGGAGGGAAAAAGAATGAAAGACAGACAGACACAGATAAAAACAAATGTTATTTCCCAGGGCATTCGACATCAGAATACTTGAAGAAAAATTAATGAGTGGCTCCCAGGTTGTTTCCCTTTCAGATGATTCTTTGTAAAACTAGGTTTGAGGGAGCTGAAATTCATTTTGTTATCAGTGGCGTCTAAGTACCCTACATTCTAGTGCTTTCTTTGAAGAAAGCAACAAACAAAATAGTCCCAAGAGTACATGGTTTGAGTTTGTCGCCTTCCTTCGTTTTAAAGTAATTCTCCCAGTAATCTCTCTTTTTCCTTCCTTTTCCCTTTCCTTGTTCTCAGGGCTGAGAAAGGGCAATGAAATCATGACCTTAAATGGGGAAGCTGTGTCTGATCTTGACCTTAAGCAGATGGAGGCCCTGTTTTCTGAGAAGAGCGTTGGGCTCACTCTGATTGCCCAGCCTCTGGACACAAAAGCAACCCTGTGTACTTCCTGGCCGGACAGTGATCTGTTCTCCAGGGACCAGAGGAGCCAACTGCCCCCTCCTAACCAGTCCCAACTTCTGGAGGAATTCCTGGATAACTTTAAAAAGAATACAGCAAATGGTAAGACTTTGTTCTGTCTTGCTTCTTAACTGCTGGTATCAACAGCCAATATATTTAGGCTGTAATTTTGCTTGCAAACTCAGATTATTTAAGCCATTCAAAGAGTGTTTCTTAATTTATTAGGAAAAGAACACAGATGCCAGCTGGAGTAGATTTGATCAAAATTCCATACATTTTAGTAATCATAGCACTTTCATGAAAATAGAAAATAATTATTCTTGCACAAAATAACAGTCTTTAAATTCAGACTCTTTTTAAAAATCACCCATAATATTTAGCATTGTAATTGCTCTGTGATGAAAGCCTGCATAAATGCCAAACTTGAGTTTTCTTATTCATTTGAATCTAAGGTAGACCATTTTGCAATAATCTGTTGAGTACTTAGACTGTTGCAATTCAGTTCTTTACTTCTTTTGTTAAATACTACTTTCTAAATCAACAGCAAACTTTTAATGTAGGTCATGAGTTTTAAAACTTTGTGAAGGCTAAAAATGAAAAATTGTATGCTAGTGTATTTTTCTCAAGGTAAAATTTCCATCTGATGAAATCATTTGATGATATGAATTTCTGAGCTTATTATTCATATGTATTTCATATATTGCAGTCAAGCAAATTAGAGGCTGTGGCTAATACTGAAAACCTGCAGTTCCCCTTTGTATGCCTGGAGGATACTGGTCAAGCTCCATAGAAGCCCAAGCATAGGGTCTTTACCCTGAGAGCACACTAAGTAATTTTTGTACTTAATTACAATGGTAATGGATTTCTAATTCAAATCTGCATGATTACCAAAAGTGAATGAAAAACACAAAAGAGAAGTTGTTAGGATGGATTTAGTTATAAAGCAAGTTTATTAGGTCATTTTTGGAATTAAAAAATCAGATTGTAAGATTTGTGATTCAATAAGGTATCTCGTGCTTTCTCCTCCTCTCTTGGGGCTTTCCTTCAATTTAAAATACCATTAAATTGACTATTGGCATATAAAAGTGAGTGTCATAAAACAAAAGTTATGATGGAACTAATTAATTACTTGGTTGTGTTAGGGCCATAATTCAGCTCCCCTAGACTGCAGTTATAGGCCTGAGTATTCCATGTAATACACACATGTGTCCATTCGTTGGATTCATTACTCATGAGGGATACATTCCCTACCTGTGTTATATTGCTATGTATTTTGTCATAATAAGAAATCACTCCAGACTCTATAATACTTTTGGTACTTGCAGGAATGAATTCTTATAGAAAGCAGCAAAAGGGGAAAATATATATATATATATATTTTAGTAGTAAGGATCAAGCAAGTGAGTTAAGCTTGTTTATCTCTCTCTCTCTCTCTCTCTTTTTTTTTTTTTTTGGCTATGTAGCAGAGTAAAGAGGCAGTCCTGGATGTGTTAGACAGCTATTCTATTACTCATCCTAGGCAGCCATTTGATGATCTAAAGCTTTATCGATTACCTAAGGAATCCTGATGTCTGTGTGTTCAGAGAGCATAGCTAGTCAGGTGGCCACAGTGCTTGGCCACATCTCTTCTTCCTACTGGCACCTCCATGGCTGCAGTGCATTATGTCTGCAGGTTCTTTCTCAGGTCCTTTCACCAGCAAGGTGAGAGTCACAGACCTCTTCATGGTTTCCTGGCAAGACTGTGTTCTGTGGAGGTGATGTTCTCCCAGACAGAGCCCTGCCCCCTCTGCCCCAGGTTTCACTGTTTGTTCCCTTTCCTAAGTTCCGGTGACTGTTCTGAAGTCATTTGCTTGTGTTGGAAACAAAACAGCCACCATGGACTGCTTTCCCAAACACTCTGCAAATATGGATTTTTTTCTTTCTCAGGTAGTTGTGTCACTGATGAAGGAAGTTAAATGCCTGTGAGTGAAAACCTCAGAAGGAAATCTGTCCCTTTTGAAGGTTGAGGGAAAAGGAAGTGTACGGGTGGGTAGGTAAGAAATTGAAAAATGAAAGAGAAAAAAGCCCGAGCCTCTCATTTGTACAGAACATCACAGTTACAAGAGGAGCCCATGTTTATGAACATACTGAGAGGTGACATGTGATAAGCTTGCAGGCTTTGAGTCAGACCTGGGTTTGAATCCTGGGCTCTTTTTACAGTTTGTGCCACACGAGGGACAGCCCTCGACCGGTGAGGTCTGGGCGTGGTGGATGCTGGCTTGGCTTCCTCATCCCTTGCAGAGACCATCCTGAGGTGTAGTCCACGTTGTCCTGCAGACAGCCCCTGGAGCTAAACCCCAGGTGCACACGTCAGCCTTGTCTTCCCACCTTTCATAGGCTTTCTGCTTTTCTTGCCTCACTGTCTGTATTAGTTCATTTCTGTAGCTTGTAACAAAATACTCAGAACTGGGTGAGTTGTAAGAAAACGAAATTTATTGCTTACAGTTTCTGAGGCTGGGATGTTCAAAGTCCAGGGAACACTTCTGGTGAGAGCTTTGGTGGTGGTGGCAGTGATGGCAGGATATCACATTGCAAAAATGGTAGAATGGGGACAGCAAGAGTGAGAGGGACAGACTCTCTTCTCTCTCCTTTTTAAAGCCATCAGAACAATCCTCCTCACCACCATTTTAAATCCATTAACTATGTCAAGGTCCTACAATCTAATCACCTCTTCAAGGCTCCACGTTTCAATTACCATAATAGGATTTCCCATGCTCTTAACAGTCACAGTGGAGGCCAAGTTTCTAATACATAAAAGTTGGGGAACACAGTTCAAGTTTAAGTGAGTTTTGGGGGGACATAATTCAATCCACTACACTGTCCCTGTTTCCTTGGGCTTCTTGGGATCACCTCCCAAGTAAACTTCTGTTCCCAAGTCCTTGGCTTAAACTCTGCTTTTGGGGGAGCCTGAATGAAGACACTGAGCCTCAGTTTCCTCATCCAGAGAAAGTCTTCTCTACTCCCCTTGTGGGTCACTGTGAAGTTGAGGGAATTCACGTTTGTGGCATGTCCAGTCCAGCTCCTTACACAGCAGGAATTCTGAAAAGGTTATTCTCCTCTGTTTCCTTCTCCTTTATAGCTTAATGGTTAATTAAAAATTACTTCGATTTGCTTTTGTAATGAATTATGAAACAGTAATTCTGTTTTTTTTTACTAAGAAAATTAAAATATACACAAATCAAAAATTTAAATGACTTTGAAAAACAATTTTTAATGTGACTTTGAATTATATTTAGCACTGGTCATTTCAGAGTCTGCCTTTCCCTAAATTTCATGTTCCCTTGAAGGCATTTCTCTGCCTATTAATAAAAACCAAATAGCTGGCTCTCTGGAAGAGCAGTCCTGTTTTTTGTAACAGGAACTATAAGAATATCAGAAAATGAAGGAAGAAGAAATTCTAAAGCAGTTGTTTTGGGTGTATCTTGACCATCAAGTGGAATATTTATTGACTCCTGTTTAGTACTTAAAAAGTATGAGGCCTTGGGAACAAGCTATATCCGATTCAGGACTTTCAGTCTGCTTTTGTTTCTGTTCAGTTATCTGGAAATTTATATTGATTAGCTTTAGTCTTTTGGTCATGTTTAAGTGGAAAAAAAATCTGTATCTATCTTTGATTTAAAGAAGTTTTAATCACAGTGGCAAGTCCCAAAGAGCCAGGGGAATGGTTGTAGGTTGCTGCTCTGGTTCTGAGCTTTCCTAGAGAAGAAGTATTCTACTGGCATTTGAGATCACTGCTGTGTTTAGGGAAGTGGGTCTCAAGTTTCCTAGTGCATGAGACTCATCTGATGAGTTTATGAAAATGCAACCTCCTTGGTCCTGCTGTTAGAGTGCCCCCTTCAGGAGGCTCGGGGTGGTTCAAGCTCCGTTTTTTAACCAGCACAGGGTGCTAATTGCCGTTGAACAGCCCTGGGGTAGGGTGTATTCAACTCCCACTGCCCTGTGGCCATTAGTCTAAAGGAGGTGGGCCTGGACCGCGCAGCAGGACTTTTCTGTTTCCTGAACCTTCTGTGCTGAGGTTCTGAGGATTGAATGAGATAATACATGTGAAGTTCTCAGCAAATGATAGCCATTGTGCTTGTGTCTTGTTTCAGTAGGGATTATGTGTCCCAAACCTCCGCTGTCCTTCGAAGTATGCTCAGAATGCAGCAAGTGGACTTCTTAGCCCACTTCATTTGCTCCTTAGTCCATGCTTACAAGACACTGTCCCATTCAGTGAATTGAGTACACTGAGAAGCAGAGAACTTCGTCACCGGCTTTCCTACGCTATGCCTGTGTTACTCTGTGAGGGCCGGAGAGACAGGAATACATTGAGGATTGATGTGTTTAATATTAAGTTTCTTTATTTCCTAAGAAGTGAATGACCATTTGATTCTTGCTGTTAGGTGTTTGAATTTCTGTTCTAGTTACCCACAGCAGAGAGAGGAAATGTCCATGGGCTGTATTTGACTTGAGTGGAAATATCATCTGTAAAGACATTTTACAGAGAGAATTAATTTTACCACTGGAATTGCTTAAAGAGCCCACTGTTATTTTAGAGCCAACAAGGCCACCATTGAAGGCATTGGATGTACCAGACCTGTTTATACTGGGATCCTGTAAATGCTGTTTTTCTGATTTATGTATGAAAATCCCTCTTCTAGTGTTTGCCATCTTTTGAAAAATTCCAGCAGCTTTTATGAAAGTCTCATTGGGCGTAGAGTTCCAGAACAAAATCTTTATGTAAACACTGAACTTGTGGCATGAATGCATTCTCCATCTAGAAACAGTTATTAATACTACCTTGTTAGGATTGCGGGTAAATTTAGCAGGAGACCAAATAGAAAAGACCTATGTTCTTGCTCCCATTTAGTCAGTGTAAATGCAGCAAACGCTTACCAGATGATGAAGGTAATTGTGGCTGAGCTGCTTTTTTAGCTCCCACACAATCCTCCTTTGAATCACTCTTTTTAAATTGATGTCTGAGTAGTGTAGAGTCTCAAGCTACCAGAAGCCACTTAGATGTAAATTTGTTTAGAATGAATTGCTCTTGGGAACGTATGTGTCCATTATATAGCTTTTCACCA